AATAATGAACAGGGACAGCACACTTCAGAGGACTTGGGGAAAGCTTTCTGTAGGAGATGGGATTTTAGTTGGGACTGAAAGGAAGCCAGAGAGGTCTGTAGTCGGTGGAGGAGGTAGAGTGTTCAGGCATGAGGGGCAGCCAAAGAGAAGGCTGTCTTTTGCACAATTCCCACCTTTGGCATTGCCTTAGAAGTAGCCCATGAGAGTACAGTGCAGTTCTTAGGATCTGGTGGGAAATGTGGAATGTAGTGATGTTATGATTACTCTGGTTTGTTGCTTTGGTCCATTCCTTGGTTTTAGCCAGCAACCAGTCTATGATCTTATGAGGGTTTCAGCCAGTCTGTTGAATGTATGATCTTTAACAAAGTGAGATACACCTTCTTCTAAAGCTAAATGCTTTAGGATTGTATGGCTACAAAGACTCATTGTTTTGTTTTGGTTTTTGTGAGGCAACTGGGGTTAAGTGACTTGCCCAGAGTTATACAGCTAGTGAGTGTTATGTGTCTGAGGTCAGATTTGAACTCAGGTCCTCTTGACTTCAGGGCCAGTGCTCTAACCACTGGCCACCTAGCTGCCCCTGACTGGATTGATTTTAATGAAGCTCTAGCCAAGTCTTTGGTGTGATGTATAGCCACACGTATTAAGAGAAGGAGGGGAAATGGTATTTGGCCACTTGCATAGAGCAAGTGGCAAATGCTACTGAATTCTGTATTTGCTATCCCTGGACAAGTAAGCCACTGAGATTGTTTTGTTTGTAAAACTGCATAGTATATTACTTATAAAGAATGACAGTATTTCACAGAGCCATCCTTTGTTTATCAAGAGTGTGAAGTTAATGCTTGAAAAATCTCACTGCCTTATTACATGGTTTGACAGAGGTTCTATTTCTGGTTATCCTGGTGACCACAAGTATTTCTCTTCTCTTCTCCCATTGTTTTTACATAGAATGTAGGTACTTCCAGGTGCAGTAATTTGTTTAGTGAAAGAGATGGGTCATTATGTTGAGTGCCCTACCATTCCCTGATGTAATGAGAAAGCCTCTTTTTTATATTTGTTTTAAAAAGTGATGGTTTAAAACCTTATTGACAACAAACTAAAACAATTCTATAGGTGAAAGCATCAATCCAACTTGCCAAAAGATAGTTACTAAAACATATGCAGTGCCTGTGTATTTAGCAATCTGTGAATATTCAAGTGGACCCAAAAGAAGTTCATTAGTTTCATATTACCTCCAGGATAAAATTGGAAAAAGAACATTTAGAACTGTCTTTACTTGGCCTTTTGTCATTTTTCTTAATAGAAAACATTTGAAAACCAATCACATCTTTTCTTAAGTGGAAGCAGTTTAATCTTGTTACTTTTCCCAAAGTATAGTTTATTAATCCATTAAAAATTAATTTATCACATCACATCTTTATCCTGTGTTTCCTCTGAGGATAGATATTATCCTCTTCGCATCCAGAAAGATGTGATACTGCACTGACCTAATCTTATACATGAATATATAGCTATTAGCAAGGAGATGGCAAGCCTAACAATGGATTTATCCTAGTCGCTTAGGGTAGGAAATTGAAACAAATAGTGTCCATAAATTTAGAGTAGTAAAAATAAAAATAGGTTCTTTATACTTGCATCCCATTATAGTAAGTCAGAGATGTTTGAGTATTGCAACCACAAGATTCATTAGAAAAACTTTACACTTCACTAGCCATGGTTATAGAGTTTTACAATGAAAGGAAAAAGAAGAAATATATTTGTAACAATGTCAACACTTTCAAGCCTAAACCTAGAGGCACAAACTGAACCCAAATAGATACTACAGGAAAAAACTCCTTTAGCTTTGTTTGACTTCAGGTAAAATTATAGATAGTTTTGGAACCGCCAGTCAAAGAGCAGATTTCCACATTATTCACAGGGTATCATAGGCAAGCTTAGGATGATCCAGGTGGTTCAGGAGGGAAATAGTACAGTGGGGAACCCAAGTCAAGAGTCTCTTGGCATCACCTTTGTTGTTGTTCATCCTTAGTTTTCTTTCTTTTTTTTTATGATTTTTTTAGGCAATTGGGGTTAAGTGACTTGCCCAGGGTCACACAGCTGGTAAGAGGTTGGATTTGAACTCAGGTCCTCCTGACTTCAGGGCAGGTGCTCTAACCACTGCGCCACCAGCTGCCCTTTTCATCCTTAGTTTTCAAAGAGAACTAATGACATCAGCTTCGTATGCCTATCTTCTCAACCTTTCCAGTCATTTATGTTCACCAGTGGCATCTCAGACTGCACTCCCTTTGAACAGTTCAGGGCATTTCCCAAGAATGCAGAAAGAGTGAATTAACAATAGTCAAACAGTTATACCTGAATTTTAAAACCTAGAGCAATTTCTATAACAGTTCCAAGGGATCTTACCTCACGTGCAAGTTTCAGTAATCATAGCTTAGGGTAAGGTAGAGTTCTTTATCCTGTTGTTCCAGTAACGGTTAATTAACAAGAAGTAATCATAAATTAAAAACCGTTACCTTCCATATTTTTCAAGTTTATACTTGGACTTTCCAGAAACATTCATTCAACATCTTTCATTTATTTTCTACTTCAAAGACATCTTGATGTGAAAGTCAGTCATCAGAACTTAAGAAAATAATCATATTCTGGAATTTTATACGTATAGTGAATTCATGATCATTCAATCCAAACCCAGAGACACTAGTCACTATTAGCCTCAAATATCCATCTCTTAAGGAAGAACCCCAAAGCTAAAACTGCAGTCTTCTTTTTTATAAAATTTTTAAAATGTATTTCATTAAATATTTAAAACTGGGATCTTCCGATATTAAATTCCCCCAGAGATATTCCAGGTATAATTTCATAATCTTCATTATCAATAGTCACACAAAGCATCATCTAAATCACTTCCATACTATAAGCAAACTTAATTCCCACCTTTCCCTCCCTCCCCCTCACTTTGGCTATGAGTGATACAAGAGGGCATCTCAAGTTTCTCAGTAAACCAATTAATTCTTTATTTCAGAATTTCATCACATTCTTTTAGCAACTTCTTTCACAGAATCGACAAGATGTCATGACCTTGCCAAGCCTGAAGATCCAAGGGAGAGAAAATCTGGTCAATTCCCAAAGAAATTTATAGATCATGAAGATTTACAGAGTTTTTCATAAGTTTCCTAAGTGCTAAATTATTATTACTCGTTATTAACCAAAATATATTCAATTAAATACTTGACTATTATTTAACCATTATAGCAGTCTCTAATAAGTGATAGCTTAAATTTCATAATTTCATGGCATTTAAACCAAAAAAGGAGTTAATCTAATAATATAAATTGCAGTAACAGATATTCTTATACAGTATTTTCCCAAAATTACAATACAAAGAAATGAGGAGCTTGATAATTCTGTAGAACACTATGATGGACTTAAACCATGAAACATGAAAACAAAAACAAAAACCACTCAGTCAAATGACATTCTGAATTATCTAATATTAAAGAAATCATTTTATTTATCACTTTTGACATTCTATACTAGTTGCTTTCAGAGACCAATATACAGTAGTAAAATCAAAGTGTTCTTAAAATTACAAAGGTGGTACCAACAGTTAACTGTTCGAAACATATCAATCATACTAGAAATAGTAATGCTCAATAATTAATTTGTCAGAAACCAATATAAATCCAAATCTTAAATTGCTTAATTTTAAATATTGCAGCATGATTCCAGCTACTTTTCTACATAATCAAGAATATCAAAATTGGTAAAATAAAACTTAGAAATCTTAAGAAATCTCAAAATTCACTTCAGTTGTCTGAGGAGGGAACAATATAGATTAAAAATTGCTCCTCACATAGTTATCTTTTAGAAATTAAAGTTGAGTTGCATTTAAACAAAAAACCTTTTTTCTGCTTCTGAGAGCACTTCTATATACTTTTCACTAACCTCTCATTGAGCTTCACGTCCATCCTGTGTTAGCGTAAACAGACTCCAACTTTCTCTAGTGCCCTTGTCCTTTCTTCTCTGGACTCTGACCAAACCTTACAGAGCACAGAATTGTAACTCTCTGCTTCGGAAACATGGGTCAATTAATTTACAAATCTTTTATGTTTTGAGTTCTTAAGAGCTTAGGAATGCATACTCTACTCCAATTTTCTTTTATGTGATTTTGCATGTAATTTACCTAAACAATTAAATTCTATTAAATAACTCACAGAAGAAAATAAAGTAGTAAGGAATATATTCTTCCAAATTATAGTTCTTTTCAATTTGCTTTTAAATGGAAACACATTCTTTTCATGATGGAGAAAAGAGGTAATAACTGGTGGTCCTTAAGCACTAGAGAAATTGACAAAACTACAGACAAAAACCCTTTTTCTCTAGGTCTGGGAGGATGATGCCCCTGCCTAGACAGGTCACCACTTTCCCCTGGGATGTGACTGGCTTGGAAGCATTTGTCCTCAGCTGCATAAGTCAGAACTAGTGACACAGACCTTTACATCAGCCAGGCTGTTGTTGCTGTTTTCGACATTTGTTTAGGTTTAGGTGTGCAATGAGACCTGTCAGTGCTACTGGGGCATTTCTTGGCTACTGAGAGAGGACATTGAGTGGTTACTGGAATGGAGGGTTGGAGAAGGGTAGAGGGTTTCGTGTACCAAAATTAAAACTATCTGCAAATCCATTCAAACCCTGGACCACTGAGCTCTCCCTCCAAACAAAGAAGACAAAAACCTAGATACCTCTTGGTGGCAAAGTAGGTATTTTATGCTTCACTAGGAAAAGGGTACACACTTAGCTGTTGGGGTGAGGGCTGCTCCATGCAGTTGCAGAGCAGGGCCAGCAAGACTGAAGAGTCCCGGCTGTTGTATTTTTACCCACATGATTTTTTCTCCCATGACATATGTAGAGTACTGATCTCTCCTGTGTTTGTAGAGAATTCTCCCGATCTGCTGTCTGAAGTGTATCTATACCCTCATGGCTTTTTCTCCTTTGTTTCTCTGCAGTGTGTCATCTCTGGAATGGGTCCAGCCTCTGCCAAGAGAATGGCCAGTGGAGGAGGCCATAACCCCTGGACCAGAGGCAGGGTACAGTCACCTCAACTAGGAACTCAGGCTTGATGGTGTTGGCAAAAGGCCTTACAGGACAATGGCCTCTGCCCAGCCAGCCTCTGAGCCATTCTCTGAGGTGTACATGATGGCAGCTTCAAAGTAGCTGAACCCTGGATTGTTCCAAGTCCTTCCTAACACCAGGTGCCTGAAGTGACTGTCCAAATCCAGGGCATGAGTCCTGGCCCCAGTCTAGGTGGCTGTCCTCATATATAACCTGAACAGACTTGATCAGGGCTTTCCCTGAGCAACACTCCCCATAGCTCTGCAATCTCCATGATCTCTGTTTGAAAGCAGTGATGAATCTCCACATTTCATCCACCTTGTCTCCACTAAGTGAGGACAGAAAGAGCCCATTCTCCTGGATCCCTCTCCAGTTGATTGGCTCTGAGGGTGGGGGCTTGTCCAGGCCCCTGAAGGCTTCTGCTTAGGAAACTCAAACAGTACTGGATATTTTTACACGTGGTAAGTTTTCCACTCGTAATGTATGTAAACTAATGGTTTCTCATTTCTTTTGTGAAATTTTTACAAAGACAGTTCCTTCAGTGTGATTGGATTTTGCCAAGATCGTTAGAGGAAGTGAAAGTGTGGACAAAGTATTTGTCATTTTTTCCTTTATTCATATTGTTGAGCTTAGCTTTATATGGCTAAAATTTTTTCTATCCCAACAAACTTCCTGTTGAGGTCAGACTGAACTCAGAAAAGTTCCAGGGAAGGCTGATGGTTGTCAGGAATGCTGGAGTCCTACCCAGTGCTTCTTTTGGTTCCTTCCAAAGCTTGTGTTTTGGATTTCCCAAGTTAGGTTGACTTACCTGCTGGCCTGCGTATCAAAGTGCCCTTCTCTTGGAGCCTACCTCCTAATGCGTGCCTGTGTGAGTCCAATCAGGCAAATGTCCTTCTGCTCTTGTGCCCACTCTATGTAATGTGTCCTCACGATGATTCCTAGAGTGAACCACAGCTTCTTTCCTGCTTGTTCTCTCCCTACCAAACAACCTAATAAATTTCTTTCTAAAACTGTATCAGATTTTCAGGGTGGTCCTCATGACCGAGCAAGGTCCATGGCTGCTGCCCAGAAGGCAGCATTAGGAGGAAGGGGGTAGACGTGCCAAAGAGACCAATTTAGGCTACATCTACTCAAAGGGTCTTAACAAGGAGTACTGAGCCAGAGCAGAATAGGCAGCCTCTGGGAGAGTGAGCTTCCGTCAAAGACTCAGGGATCACTTCTCTGGGGTGGTGTAGAGGGAATTGTTCAGGGCAGAGACAGGCACCTCAGGTGGTCACTGAGCTTCCTTCCAACACTGAAGCTTTGAGATTCCATGAGGAATAGGGAGAGAGGCAGAGAGAACCTGGATAAGTCCCAGGTCACCAGGCACTGATGATAGATGGCCCAAGATAACTGGGACAACTGAGAGGGGTGACTGCTGAGGTACAGCCAGGGACTATGAAGTGATGGAGAAAGGGAGAGGCCACACAGGACGCAAGGAGGAAGGTCCAGCTCTAATCACTAAGCTGTGGGTCTGGAAAGTTAAACTTGATTCTTGTTATTAAAGGGTTAGCTAGTGAGTACCTTAGAAAGGAATCAATGACCAGAGATAATTAAGCCTTTATTAAAAAAAGTCTTTCCAAACTTATTATTTATTTTTTACTAGTAATAGGAATGTACATATGAATCACTCCACAGGGGACCATTAAGACTTTATTAGCATAGGACCAGCTATCAGCTAAGGGCTGGGGGATACCACGGAAATACAAACACAGTCCTTGCCTTCAGGGAGCTCCTGGCCTAATGGGGGAGCCTGAGGTTTCTGCTTGGCCTGCAGGCGATACAGAGTAGATGAGAGGCAACCTTCCAGGAGAGGAAGGCAGTGGGGGATGGGGACAAGGATGCTGGGAAAGGTCTGAAGAAGGTGACAGTTAAGCCAACCTTGAAGCCTGAGATTCTAGCAGGTGGAGTCCAAGAAAAAGAGCAATCCTTGGGGTAGCTAGTTGGCACAATGGACAGATTGCTGGCCATGGAGTCAGGAGGACCTGAGACGAGGAGGCCCTTGCAAAGGCATAAAGACAGGAGGACAATCTCGTGTGAGGAATGACCAGGAAGCCACATGGCTAGGACCATAGAGAGCGTGGAGGGGAGAATGAGGAAGGGCTTTCAGTCCCAAGGAGGAAACTCTGAGCCAGGAGGTCACAGAATGCAGAGCCTGAGGTTTACCAGGGGGGCAGGGTCACAGCCATATGGTCAGATCTTTGCTGTGGAGACAGCCTCACTTTGGCAGCTGGGGTGGGGGGAGTATTCTTTCTTCCATAGCCATTTAATTGATGGGCACCCCTTGGTTTCCAGTGCTTTGCCGCTCCCAAACAAAGTGCTCTAAGTAAGCCTTTTACTCCTGCTCCATCCAAGGTCCTCATCTTGCTGGACAGCCTGATGCATCCCCTTGATGTTTGTAACATTTAGGGGGTGGGGGTGGAGGTGCCAAGGCCCAAGGGCTGCTGGGAGGGATGGAGAAGCAGGATGTCCTGATACATTCACTTGGTGATTATGATGTGGAGGGGGAGAGGATGCCAAGGCCCAGAGGGAGAGAAATGGGGAGGAAGGGCAGAGCTGTGTGGTGGTAGTAGCAGCCTCCAGATCGTAGAGGGTGGTACAGGACAGGGAGTGGATAGAAGCTTAATGAGGGGTGGGGACGCAGAGTGGTGCCAGCAAGCCTGAAGAGTCCATGGTGCTACATTTTTATCTCCGTGACTTTTTTCTCCCCTGACATATGTAGAGTACTGATTTCTCCTGTCTTTGTGGAGAATTCTCTAGCTCTGCTATCTAAAGGTGTTTTTCCATCATCTCATAGTGTCTTCTCCTTTGTTTCTGTGCAGTGTGTCATATCTGGAATGGGTCCAGCCTCTGACAAGAGGAGGGCCAGTGGAGGAGGCCACAAGCCCTGGGCTAGAGGCAGGCCCCATCACCTCCTCAACTTGGATTCAGAATTGATGGTGTTGGCACTGGACCCTACAAGACGAGGGCTGCTGCCCAACTAGAACCTGGACTGTCCCCTGATGTCCCCATGATGGCAGTTTCAAAGTACATAATTCTGGACTGTGCCTCACCCCCCAGTTTCCCTAGGGAAATGGAAGCAATTGGAGGCATCTGGGAGATGTGTATGGAGCCCAGCCTGGGGTAGCCTCCCTGGCTGAGAGACTTTGACCAGGGCCTTCTTCCCTGATTAACCCTTACCAGGTGCCTGCTGTCCCCAGAAGAGCCAGTGGGTGGGCGGGGTTCCAAATTAGGGTCTATATAAACTTGCTCTGAGCTATGCGCCCACACACTCCCTTGCTGGCGCCATGTTGGGGGGGGGTGTCCTTTCTCATGAGAAAGCAATAAAACTCCTTTTTGCCTTTCTTAAGAAAAGTCTGTAACTGATTATTACAAGGGGGTTCATAAACACCCGACACAGAGGTCTTCGGGGTGGCCAAGGGGATTGTGAGGAGAAATAGAGGGAAAGTAATCTAAGATCCAGAGTGGAATTAAAAAAAAAGCTGGAGAGATGTATTGGTTGGGAACTAAATTTGTTGGGAATAACATAGGCTTGTCTGTTTGGATGGTGCCTTCACGCAGCTGCAGAATTGGGTTTGGGCTGCTGTCTGGGAAGCTCATTTATGGCTTATTCAATTTCTTCTTCTGATTTTGGGTTATTTAAAATAGTCTATTTTGTTGCTGTTCGTCTTGGTATTTAAGTGTTCATCTATTTGCTCTTAAGTTCTTAGTTTTGTGGCATATCATTGATCAAGCTAATTTCTGATAATTTCCTTTCTTCAGTCGACTTCATTTTCTCATTTTTTGATGTAAACGATTTGGTTTTCTTTTTTGTTTTATTTAGAGTAGTTGTTCATCTGTTTTATTAGTTCCCCCCCTAGGAAAAAAAAGCTCCTTTTTTTGTGTTAACTCATTTTTTTTTCCTCTCAATTTTATTCTGGTCTTTAATTTTCAAGATTTCTGCTTTCTTACTTAGTTGGGGATTTTTGAGTATGTTCCCAATTAACTGATTTGTTTTTTCTTTTTTTAAGTAGAAATTTCCCCCCAGTTAGTGACAGCAGTCCTTGGTATGTTGTGTCCTTATTGTCATTTTTTTCCTCCCTCCCAGCTCAGCCATGGTGCCTCCTGGCTCACTCGGCTGTCTCTGTCACCTCTCCACTGGCTGCCTGCCCACCACACCCAGGACTCGGGCAACAGCAGGTGCAGTTGGAGCCTCACACCATGACCCAGAGTAGAGGGTCTCCTTGAAGGTCTCTCAGACCTTGGGCTCCAGGATGAGGAGGAGATGGGCTCAACCAAGGCCTTGGGGAAGAAATATTAAGACAAATCTAGCGGTGATACTTGAACAGGAACCATTCTCCTAGGCTGGAACTTAAGCAGAAAACAAAGCAGGATCTCAAGACCAATAACTAAGGAGAAGTAAAGGTCCCTTCATTGTGATCTCAACTAGGAACTCAGCATGAGCAAAGTCTGCTACAGCGCCTTATCTGGACAATTCCTCCCCCTGTTCCCACCAGTGACCTTGCCGGGTGTCCCTGGAGACTTAGGAAGAGGATGGGACGTTGACCTTGAGTGATGAGTAGTAGAAGCTTCAGGGCTCTAAGGGCGGAGGAGGAGAGTCTAATTGTAGAGATTAGAGTGGAGGGGCCGTGGAGAAGGGGCTACAGGGGGAGAGAAAGGGACAGGAGGAACTGGAGGTGACAGGAAGACTTTTCCAAAAGGAGGTAACCCCGTTCTGGCTCCATCTTAACAGGGTTACCTTGACAGTTGTGAAAGGGCTGGAAGTTGGAGCATGGGAAAGCTGCCATTGGGCACAGCTATGGGAATATGGCTGAGAGTAGACAATGTGCTTGGCCCAGGATGGGATTAGCTAATGGAGGGTCGGGGTTGTGTATGTCTTCCTTTCTTCCCTCCATCCTCCATCCCTCCCAGGAGTATTCTAGGAAAAGGCTAAAAATGCAGGTCCAGGG